GACCGAGAAGATTTCCTGGAGATGCCGTGAGTGGCCTGATGGCTTGCTTTGAAAATGCGTCCCAAACTGAGCTGGGATGCCCTTGAACTACCAAGTGCTACACTTACATTGATTGTGCAACAGAAATGTTTAAGAGCCAGTCATACCTGCCTAGTCAGCACAGCACAATCCCCTGTACAAACAAGCTTGGCAAATGTACTTCCTAGAATTATTCACTCCTTACCTTTGCTAGCAGGAAATGATCTAGCCACAGTTTGGAATGTTCAGCCAGTTTAGGAGTCCTTACAGAAATCTCCTGGTATGTCTCCTGCCCTGGGTGGGGTGGGAGGGCGAATGGCACTCTGTACACAGCCAACAGGTAAAACGCAGACCTTGAGAGAGACCCTCACCATAGCATGAGTCAGCAGGTTTCCTAGAGAATGAAGAATGTGTCCTCAGGTATTTTCTAAACCCGGGAGAGGAGGCTGATAGTAGACAGATCAGCAGATATATGCTTTTGAAGTGCCCCAAAGCGGGAGATAGCTACATTCCCTAAAGAAACAACCTGTACTTCTCAGGCCTTTGGCAACAGATTGTGTCCAAGGATGCTGCCTTAAAAGCCCTGGAGTTGCAAGCAATTGTATCTCCTGGCCTGCCACTCTCCAGACCCTGAGTTCTCCCTTTTGCACCACGCATAGCAAGTTGAACTTTAATTTTGCCCCAGAGCAGGCAGAGGAGGAGAGTACAGAGGAGTAAAATAAAGAAGACATGCCAGTGCATAACAGGATAGTTATTGGCTCTGACAGAAGAGCAAAGAGGGGAGGGGAGAGTCAGTGTTCCAAGGGCCATAGGAGAGTTCTACCTGAACATGCCCCACCACCACCGGAGGCTTTCCCTTGAGTCAGCTCTTTGGGGTCTGTCAGGTTCAGTGTTGTCTACTCTGGCAATGACTCTCCATAGTCTCCAGCAGAGGTCTTCTGCATCACTTACCACCACCTGATCCTTTTGACCGGAGATGCTGGGGACTGCACCTGGGACCTTCTGAAAGCAAAAGATACTCTCCCACCGAGCCACAGCCCCTCCACCACTTTCATGCACTCGTGCAGCCAGTTTGGTGTAGTGGTTAAGTGCGCGGACTCTGGGAGAACCGGGTTCGATTCCCCACTCCTCCAGTTGCACCTACTGGATGACCTTGGGCAAGCCATAGTTCTGTCAGGGCTGTTCTTGAAAAAGAGCAGTTTGTGTCAGGGCTCTCTCAGCCCCACCTACCTCACAAGGTGTCTGTTGTGGGGAGGGGAAGGGAGAAGAGTTTGTAAGCCGCTCTGAGACTCCTTTGGGTAGTGAAGGGCAGGGTATAAATCCAATCTCTTGTCTTCTTCTTTTTCTTCAATAGTACCAGTGGGGGAGGAGCATCTGGATGAACTGCATATAGATCCTCACCATTAAACCCGCCTCCCTCCTGTAATGTCTCACTCTCCTCCCCCTTCCCTGTCTTGTCTTTGCCTATTCTAAACCTCAGGGTAGGGCCTGTTCTCTTCTTTTGTTGATGTAAGTTACTTTAGGAGAGTATCGTTGGAATAGCAAGGCGTAAACATAAGTAGAACCAAGCAGTGCCGTATTAGACACCAACACTCCTGCACTTGATGACAGGCCCTGAGGGGAGAAGTTGCCCCCCGGTGAAGGTACCTGTGATGCGGTGGTTGTTGTTGGAGCTGCAGCTTGGATGTGACAGAGCTGGATTTGTTCCAGGACATCATTTGCCATTAGATCTGCACCAGCTCTGCCAGACCCCCTTCCTGGTGAGAAAGCTCCTGTCCAGCGGGCAGGTCCCCTTTCTTCACTCTTGTCCCACCATCATGAGGTGGATGCAGAGTCCATGGAAGAAGGAAACAAATGAGGCTGCTGGATGATCTAACTACCGTCCTTCTCTTTTCAGTCATTGGTGGCATAAAGCTTCCCTCCTGTATTGCAGGGGAGGGGGTACATAGTGAAATGGAAAGAAGCCGTACAAACAGAGGGCTACATAAGCACAGTACTGTTGCTCGGGACTGAGATGGATCTCAGGGGTCCCTTCTGCTAGTGGTGCTTCTCTCCCCCCCCCCCCCCCCCCAGCACAAGGAAACTTGTCCTGACACAAGGGCTTCAATAAGCTGTCCTGGGCTTGTTTGACTCACAGGATTTGATGCCTACTCCTCCGAGGAGCTCAGAGCAACATACATAGCTCCTGCTCCCTCCTCCTGATTAACCTACACACCTGTGAGGTTGAGGGAAGGAGAGTGACTGGCCCAAAGATGTCTGTGAGCTTAACAAGAAGAGTGGGAATCCAACTTCAGATCTCCTGGTTGCGATCCGACGCTTAATTTAACGCTGGCTCACAGCGCACACCTTATGCGATTCTTAAGGGAGACCTCTAAGTCCACAACGTATCATATCCAGGTTATCACTTGTATCTCCCCATCCCTGGCTGCACTTGACTTCTAACCATTTGCCACAAGTGCAAGCCAATAAGGCCAGATGGGTCCAAAAGCGACAGTTCCAGATCATTCAAGCAAGACACACTCAACCTGAGTTTCCAAAGGAAGCTACATGGGCCTTCTAACTCAAAGCTTGGCACACCTGAAGTTCACATGACCCGCCATGCCAGTTTTGGGCTCATAACAAAACCCTTTCCTGATTCCGATGAGTGAGAACTGAGTCACATTTGTGTTCCGTGGCTAGTTTTGTCTTGTTTTTGTAGCTGATACAAATAACTTGCTCATGGAGGCAGAGCTGGGTGTGCTGGCAACTTGAGGACACAGCAGCAGCATCTGACACCAGGGACACCCAACATGTGCCTAATGGTTTATGGTCGTCTCTGCTGTAGCTGCCTATGAGCGATATGCTATGTTACGTTAAGTGGCATGTCAGCTAACAACAAGAGCGGAGCAGAAGATGATGCAAAATAAGCGACGTATAATTAATTCATCCAGCTCTTCCTTGAAACCAACAACGTTTTCCGCTTCAGTCTCTGGTTCTGAAGGATGCTCTGCTCAAGTGAAGAATTCCCATCACTGTAACTCTTCTGATTTGGCCAGAATAAATGGCCATCGTTAGCCACCTGTTCTCATACTAATGGTGGTTTTCAATGTTTTCCTGCGTTTCCTCCTTCCTCCACAGAAGCAATTCCAATTAATACTGATTTCTGCTGCGAATCCCCAGGACATCCATCACCTTACTACCCAAAGGAAACGAATATTCCCTCCACGCGCAAAAGGTTCATTTGGCTTAGCATTGTTTTTTCAAAGTCAAACATCAATTTGTATTTTTTAAAATTAAAAAACAACAACAAGGAATAGGGGAACAGACTTTATTTCTTTAAATATTAGTAACACTGCACAACACAATTCAGTGGTATTTATGTAACAAAAAAAAAAGGTACTGCACCTTGTTTCAGAATTTTAAATACCCCAACGAGTCTGCATAAGGTTACATTTCCATAATACAAGCACTGAAGCTAAATCCAAAGAAGTACCCCAAATCCTCTTGTGTCACCATCTTCCTTACCTATGCTATGTTATTAGGGACTAATGAACGATTTCTCCAGGAAATGTGGGTTTCCAACAGTGCCAAGGAGAAAAAGGGTCACATTATCGGCAAAGAGGGAGGGGGTGGGGGTGAGAACCAACACTGGAAACCAAAGCCGCTGAGATTAGATGGCAAGAAGGCAGCTTACTTACAATAACCATGCTTGGAAGGCCATGGTAGGATCTGACTTAGTACTCAGTTATGAAGGTTAACAGAAGTTATGGAGCATGCAAATTAAAAACATGTATATGGAGGAACTGAAGCGATGTTCAAACATTTAAATTTCCCAGGCAAGCATCTGCATGCTCTCACTCCCCAGTTCGGTCCAAATCTGAATCAGCGGGGACACTATAAATAACCACTGGTGGACCAGGCACGACGAGGCCTTATAAGCTCCAGCTGGTCTTCCCCATCCCAGGCGGTCTCCGTCTCTCCCCCCCCCGCCCCGATTCAAGTCAACCTAAGGACAATGGGAGCATGCCTGGGCTGAAGAAGCCCTACGAGCTTTACGTTCTTTCTTCATTGTCTAGATGTGACTTCACTGCATCTTCAAGGCTGCTGATGACTAGTCAATGGAGACATGGTTCTATTTGAAAGGGCAGTCGATTTACTGGATGTCATAAGGTTGGGGGACTATGATGAAGCCACGCAGAACAATCCCACAAGTGGCTCACCAGGAACTGACTCTCTCAAGATCACATCTGCGTGATGCAATGCGTAGTATGCACATGAAGCATTGTGGGAAATGAAAGCAGGAAAACTGATCGTGTCACACGGCCGCGGTGGTGAATTTGGTTTAAAACTTAAAACCTGCCGTTACCGGCGGGAAACTTAGATGAGAAACACAGTATACGGCCAAAAAAAGAAAGAAAGAAAGAAAGAAAAGAATAAGTACCTGATCCAAGTGGCCATTTCTAAAATAAAGGCGTGGGGTTGGATCCCACCAATCTGTTCTGCCGAGGAGCCTCCCACTGAACAAAAGGTTCCTTACAAGGGAGGAAAAGACCACAGTTTGTGGAACAGAATGGATCTGCAGGATCCAAGCCCTTCCTTACAGAAGCCCGAGAAAAAAAAATGCACTCAGCTAGGATAGATTTAGCCCCGGGAAAAGGAAGAGGTCAAAAGCGGCTACAAAATTGCATTTTTCAAATTTCAAATTACAACACATTTCTAGCCAGGATCTGCTCATGTCGGTGTGTCTGATGTTCTGACCCTAAACATGCTACTTTAGAAGCAAAACCCCCACTGCTTTCAAAGGGAGAGGCTTCACAGCGGAGCGCCGATCACTGAGCAGTCTTACAGAAGCGAATGTGTGGCCCTGAAGCAGAATAGTGCAACTTTAAGCATACTTTGAAACAAGAGTCGTTGCCATCTCCCTCGCTAAGTGACTATAACCATGAGACAGGTATGCACCAGGAATCGCGGAGGGGGGGGG